CTACATTGCCACCCCTGGCCGGCTTCTGAAGGTTATGAATCATCTCTTGAGTCAGGGTAATATTATCAAAATACTTCTTCCTGGAATAAAAGCACCTTGCTCCATAGAAATCATTCGTGGTAATATCAAAGCAAATCTTTTAACCAGAATTTTCGACCAGACCTTATATATGACTGAACATAAACTAATTGGCCTGAATTTGTCAAAACTAGAAGGGGAATCAGTTTTAGGAATAAGAACCACATATGAGGAAGAGTAAAATCTTGGAATAGCCATACCTCAAAAAAAATCGCACACTGCCTCCACGACATCCTCACCCACTATATCCCAACAAGATTTATAGAATCCTGAGCCAAAACCATCAGGACCAGGACTAATGTCCGTTGGAATAGAAAAAACTACATCTTTGACCTCCTGGGGTGAAGGTAATCTCCCGAATTCCTCGTTCTCTGCCTCTGAAATAGTTTGTTGAATCCAAGCTGATAGGTCTGGTTGGTCTCTCCTGGGTCCAGCTCCTAAGAAATTTTGAAAATAATCAACCGCTGCGTGATGGATTGCCTCATGATTGTCAAGCACCGTACCATCCCTAAGTCTCATCTCCTTGACCCTGTAAGAGGTCCTGCCATTAAATTGCTTGAAGAACTGATTACTAGCTTCACCTTTCTCTATCCAGCTCTGCTTTGCTATTTGTGCTAGGCGCATTCCTTCTCTTTCTCCCAAAGTCTCAAGTTCTACTTTAGTAGCTAAGTAGGTATACTCGATCTCCTCCGAGTGATCCACTTGTAGGCTAGCATCCAGCTCTTCTAACTCTTTTTCCAGCCGTTGAATGTGTTCCCCCGTCCACCCAAATACCTCTTTGTTCCATATACGTAGTGCAGTCCTCAACCTTTTAAGTTTTCCTGCTAGGCGCCATAAACCACTTTCACCTGAGTTCCCTTCCCAAATCTTTAACACACATTCCTTAAAACTCTCATGAGTAGTCCACATTTGTTGGAATTTGAACGGTGTAGGGCCATAGCGAACCATATTAGGTTGCAACCAGATTAGCATTGGTGCATGGTCCGACGTGGTACGAGCTAAATACCTCATATGGAGATTTGGGAATTTCTCCAAGCAATTAGAATCATACAATAATCTATCAAGTTTAGCCCAACTCCTAGTCCAGCCCGTTTGACCATTACACCAAGAATAAGGTTCCCCACCATCTGGCGGTATTTCCATCAACCCACAAAAATCAATAAACTGGTTAAAGTCCTCCATAGCACCCATAGGTCGTGGTTGGCCTCCACGCCTTTCTGAATTATTTCTGATACTATTAAAATCTCCAACCACCACCCAGGGAATATGTGAATGATTCACTTCTTCTAATTCAGACCAGAGCAATCTTCTTTCTGCAGCTGTACGTTTTGCATAAATAAAAGAAACGAGCATTCAGTAATTACCTTCTGCCACCAGACAAGTGATTTGCTGATTACTTTTACTTATCAAATTAACATGTACTTCCTGACCCCACATGATCCAAAGTTTTCCTTCCACATCACTGTTCGATAACCTAAAATTAAAGTTTAGTTTCCTCTGTAAAATGCTCATTCTATCCGATGTTTGCCAAGGCTCCGCTACCGCTACAATTTTCGACTTATACTTCCTCACCAACTTACGTAGCCTGCGTGTCGAGGTCCCTATACCTCGCACGTTCCAAAAGAGATAGTTGCAACTCATAGATTAAGTCTAGAGGGTCTGCTTGGAACCATAGAAGAGCTTCTGACCTTATGAACTGTTTTCCTTGGGTGCTCTTTAGCCATTTGTTCAGAATCTGAAATACAATCACGAATAATTCCCAATTCCTCCACCATTCCTTCCACCTCTTTATCTGACATTGTCAGAGCCTCATTTGCACTACCATGATCCCTAGAATCCTCTTGTGATTCCTCAACACTGTCTTTGACACCTTGATCATCTTCTGTCCTTACCATTATGTGCATGGTCATTTCATTTATTTGTTCGTTGCCCTTGGTCGTGACCACCATATCTCCATTTAAAATTGTCTCCATGTCCTCAATTTCTCCTTCTTCCCTTGTTTGCTTCCCATCCACCAAATAATCCCCACCTAAAGGTTTCATGTGAATGTCTCCTCCAAGTTTAGCAATTTCCATCCCACTATTTTTCGAGGCTACAGTTCCATCCTCATCCATATTATTATCTCTCCCCAATTCAGTCTGCGTGACATCCCTTGTCTCCTTATCGTTACCCACAAACAAACTTATTCCTTTACTACTTTCACCAACCTTCTCTATATTATCACTTCTTTGCCCGTGGGTTGAACCTCCAAAACCACTAGCATCCAACTTAGGTATGTCTCCACCGTCATGCACATATCGTTTTCCTATTCCCACATCATTACCCACGTTCCCTTTTTTTTGTCTCCACTCTTGCTTTTCCAGGCCAATAGTAACGACTTTCTTCATTTTCTGCTTCTCATGAAATTGTTGACCCACTCTACAAACAGCCTCTGTGTGACCCTGCCTCCTGCACTTTTTACAATAGAAACCAAGTTTTTCATATTGAACACACTGCCAAAGAGTTGTCGAACCCACTGTGATCGGAAAACATTCTACCACATCAGCCAATAAATCAATTTCAACACATATACGGGCACCAGAGGCCCGTGTGCGGTTTAAGGTAGCATGATCTGTACCCAAGTATCGGCCAAATCGCGATGCTAGGATACGAAGACAATCCTGTCGGTAAAGGTGCAATGGAAGTCCAGGTAAAAAAAGCCATTGAGGAGCCAATGATGATTCCCTGTGAAGATCAAAATCTGGAGTCCACTTGAACAATCTAAATGAAGCACCAGCCACAAATCTCCCTTCTCTAGCCCAGGCATGCAAGAAATCTCCCTCATTATTCATTTTAACCAAAACGTGTGAAGCATCCATGTAACTAACCACTGGAACCTCCCGCAATCCCCAAGTTTTAGTAATGGCCGCTCGAACCAGATCAATGTTGGGGCGAGAGGATAAAAATTTAAGAACTAAGGCAAATCTGAAATCCTCTGCCAATCGTTTTACCTTTGCATCAGTGAAGATGAAACCCAGTTCTCCGTCAATCAATTTCGGTCTCCTCAGTTGAAGCGGCGGCGTCGCCTGAATATCCCCACCCACAGGTTGTTTTGCAGCCTCCAGGAACGATCGCCCTTGTTGAACACCTTTTGCCAGAGCCGTCGACGTCTCTCCCATCGTGCCCGGCGTTACCGAAAGGCCCAGCCGGGGAGGCGCCGTTACTTCGACGGCAGCCAGAAGAAAACCCTAGCTGAATCGCCCAAATCGCCCAAAATCGCCTCCTTGAATTTCTCTCGCCAGTTATTGCACACAATCAAAGATCATGGTGTATATTTCATCACAAATTGATTGGTATTAGAGTAAAGGATGGTGCAAAAAACTGGCAAAAACCATTGATTTTCAACTTGTAATTGCAATTTTCGGCAAATCCAAAAGTCAGGTAGAGAATCGGAAGGCATATTCCAGCTCCTGACATTGAGGTGAAGACAGACGTTTGGCGCGTGAACCACCAAGCATGCCGGCGTGTGAGGCACGTGTGCAGAAGCTGAAGCAGTGTGTGGCGGATTTTTCAACGAGGTTGTCCGAAGATAGATTGCTCTTGGAGGTTCTGTGACCTGCTGGTGGTGTTTGTTTTCTATTTCGGGCAATACGTTGTTCCTCGACTGTTTTACCCTTATCATTTGGGATCCGATTTTTGTCGATTATGTTACTGCAGTTACCGAAAGGTTTGGGGTGAATAGTGGTAGCCCTAAAGCAATAAAATCCACATCTCTCCTTGTTTACATATCGTCGGATTGGTCCGCTTCTTATCATTTTTACATTCTTGTAATCAAGTTGGCTAATAGGTTTGGGATTACAATGTGAGATAATCATTGCCTGTTGCTGGAATTTATGAATTATTTACCCTATTTTATGTATTAATCCCTTCTCTTCATATTTTCAAATCATTTGAGCTTATTTGCAATGTTTTTGTAGCATTGTGACTTGGGTTGAAGGCTACTCTGCAATAGCTGATAAAAGCTAAAAGATATTGTTCGTGAGAGAATGATGTCCAGTTCGAGCAAGGATATTTATGTTCCAATGTTCTCAGAAGAACATTTTGATCATTGGTCAGTTAAAATGAAAACAGTTTTGATATCGTAAGATTTGTGGGAATATGTAGAATAAGGGTATGAAGAACCCAACTCGAATTTGATGCTGACTGCGGAACAGAATCAACAATTGAGGAAAAATACAAGAAATGATGCAAACGCTCTTTCTATAATTCAACGACGTGTTTCATCAAGATTGCTTTCTACTATTCACAATGCAAAAACAGTCAAGGCAGCTTGGGACATTCTACATAAGGACTTTCAGGTAAACTTCACGGTATAAAATATTGTGCTTCAAAGCTTTAGAAGGTAATTTAGGAAACTTGAATGTGAAAATATGATTTATTTTTTAAAAGAAAGATCTGATATTTCATAAATTACCCCATTCAGTAGTTTGTAGTGAATTATAGAGATCACATGTCCATACCTAGAGTATTAAATTTCCTACATTTGATTTCCAGAATGTCGTCGTCTATAAAAATGCATTTGTATTAAAATATAATTTACTAATAAACTATTGAATATAAACGGAATTCTCGATTGATTTAAAACACAGATAATCATCCACAGGAATACAAATACAAATCCATTGAACTAATGACTTGAATTATCCAGAAGAGATGCATCCACACTCCGATTGATCTGAATCTTTAGTTTCCATTACATCTTTTTTTTTATTTAAGGACTGTAAAATTAATCTATTTTGTAGTACTTACATATTAACATTAATCTCTCTTGGAGCACTTACATATCAATATCTTTTAATTATTTCATTCCCTTTCCGACATCTCTACCTTTCTAAAAGAATTAATAACTTAAATCATCCAAAAATAATTTTTTCTCCTCCACAAGTCTTTAGATTATCGAGAACCTTCTCCTTAGGTGCACCACTATGTACTTAGCTATATTGCACAAGTGGTGCACGAACACTTCTATTAGGGTAACGTGCTCGTGTCTTGACACTATTAAAATATAGTATTAGCTCAAAGTTCTTATAATATAAAAATAGGCACTCTTATTTAAAATATTTCAACAAAAAAATTAATAATAAGTATAAAACTAAAATTCTACTATATAAACAAAGAATTTTAAAAACAGGTGTCCGTACTTTTTTTAAAAATCGTACGTCGGAGCATCGGATGTGTGTCTATGCATCCTAGCTCCTAAGTAACAACGTTCCTTATGTAGTGGCTTTAAATTCATATAATCAATTTCAATTTATTGTAAAGCATGCAAATATAATATCGTGACATTCAAGGCATATGAACAAAAGCTTCTTCATTCACTTGTAAAGCATGAAAATATAATTTCTTCACATTTGAGGCATGTGAACATAAATAATCAGTCCATTTTCCATTCTTTGCCGAAAATTCTAGCTTTTTCCTGCATCTCATAAAACTCTTTGTTATTTCTTTCATATGGATGCCTCAACAACTGCTGCCTAGAAGGTTGATAATGTACCAAGGCCAGCGCCTATGCTAAACTCTTCTTCAACTTAATGGATCAATGATAAGTATATTTGGTACACTTATTTAGGCCGTTAAATTATAGTATTTGTTAGTCATTTGGATGAGTTATAGCTTAATTATGTGCTTTTTAGGTTGAACTCAACGTAAATTGAAGGAATTTGAAGAAAGGAACGGAAAATGGGCAAAATCGAAAGAAATCCAAAGTTTGGACACCAGAGTGTAATCATTCACTAGTTGATTCGGTAAAATGATGATTAAGGATCACATGTGATCAATTGGATGCAATTGAAGGTCGAAGGGATGAAATATAGCTAAAGTATTTTCACATATCAATTTCCATCCAAATAAGTTATGCTCCTGATTTTTTGCCTCAACTTGAGACCCATTTTTAAAATAACAAATGTTCGAATTGGAAAAATTATACCTCTAGAAGAATTGTAGCCCTTTAAGTTATCTTTCCAATACACTTTAAATTAATTTGAAATCTAAAAATATTATTATCAAAATACCGAAAGCTGCTCAGGGACAACACTGCATGAATTGGAGCTCATTCGCAAGCTATTTTTGGCTCGCTCGCATGACACCTATTTTCTTGATCCAAGAGCAATTCAGCATGCCTGCACGTGCGCGGTAGCTATACCTGCATACACGCCCATGCCAAAATTTCTATTGATGAGCCAAATTCTTTTTTTTATTATTCAAACTCTTATTGACAACAATTTTGGGACAATTTTTTGACCTAAATTCAACATTTATAAATAGAGAACCACAGCTACACATTGAAAAACCCTCTCTTGCCTCTTCATACACAATAATATCATCAAATTCATCAAGAATAAGAAGCATGTTCATCACTTTTAAGAGAGAAAATCAAACCCTGGCAAGGAATTAAAGTCAATTACATCAAGCTATTGAAGAATTCAACCTTGGAATTGAAGATCGACATCTTTTGCATTCTATCATGATCCAAATAATATTTTCCTATTATTCTTCTTGTAATTTATTTAAAAACATACTAGGCTAAATCCGTTTTAGTGTTGAATGAAGTTGAACCCTATTTGTTATTTATTTCTAATTTAGGACTAGTAATTTAGTGTTTCTTGCATTTCTTGATTAATTTTGCATACCCATTGCATTATTTTATCGATTGGCTGCAACTGGATAATTTGTTGTTTGTTCTAGTATTGAGAAACTCACAATAAGTTGAGAACGTGGCAAAATTAACATATGTGCAATAGATGTTAGGAATAGATTCGGGTTGTGGTTAGAATATATTTATTTTTTTCTTGAAAAAAAAAAGTATATATCATAATTTTATCGATTGTCAAGAATGCATGAATGGAATTAGATTACAAATCAAGAATTGAAATACATAGCTATAATCGAGTAATAGTCATTTGTGAGAAGCAATATTTTTAGCCAGCTAATACATGTATAGAATAAACTTTGAAGCTGTTCCACATGATGGAGGGTTCCTCATTTTAAGAAGTTCATTCAAACATAGAAGTTGATTGTATTTGTTTATTTAATACTTTCACAGCTGTAATTACAATTTCTTCTAACACTTCTACTTTTATGGGGTAAAGGTTATGACGAAATGGGGTGATATCTATTTCGTGTTGGCCAAATTTGTTCGGACATCCTTTTTAGATGTTCATAAAGAGAGGCAGTAAAATATTTCCTCTATGAGTAATGATATTCATCCCCAGTGGTGTTTAACACCAGTTTAGGTGACAATTACATGGCATTAAATGATATATTTATTTAAATCCAGTCATATGACTCATTAATTAAACCAATAAAGTATAAACACATAAACTTGGTGCTAGAGCACCAGTGGGGATGAATAGCATTATTCGTTATATTTAAATGATATTTTTCAAGTGTTATATAGGTATGAAACTAGAAATGCTCAACTGATCATCTGTGATAATGTTAGAAAATTTTTTCGAAGGATCCTGTTATAAATAACAATGTCTTATGACCCATACGTTTGGGTTGGCTACATATTATTACCTCACTACTCCATTAGATTTATTGCTTCGTTTGTGAGAAGAACTAAAGAAACTGAACTGGACCATGTTAGTTTTAATCTAGACTTCTTCGATGGTGAGAATATCATGACTGTATAGTATCGTGTCTCTAAAAAATATGTATGAGGTGGGCAATGAACAAAACAAAATCAATCCCAAGTCTTCTTCATCATATTTGACCTCCAAGGTCTCTAAATCGACAACGATTTCCTTAAAAGAAGTTAGGTGATCCTCAAGAGATGTACCTTCTAGCATACGATGAGAACATAGATGTTGCTTCAGATGCAATTTGCTAGTAAGACTCTTCTTAGATGTTGCTTCAGATGCAATTTGCTAGTAAGACTCTTCTCATACATAATTGCTCTAAATTTAACCATAATGAAACGGCTGACTTCTCATTCAAAATGTCCTTAAGAGTATTATTGAAAGACCAAGATCTATTTGGATAGTTCATTTCAATCCCTCGTTGTTTCTCCTCCATAATCCAAGTTGTGGTCATCTTGTAAAATCCCAACAACACATTATTCAAATCCATGTGAGTAAGTATGGCTCGCATCTTTATCTGCCACAAAAAAATCTTGTAT